GTGGCATTACAGCTCACAGCAACCTCCAACTCCTGGGGCTCAAGCGAGCCTCCTGCCTCCGCCTCCCAAGTAGCTGGGACCACAGGCGCCCGCCACAACTCCTGGCTATTTTTTTGGTTGCAGCCGTCATTGTTTGGTGGGTCCGGCCTGGATTCGAACCCGCCACCTTTGTTGTACGTGGCTGGCGCCCTAGCCGGTTGAGCCACAGGCGCCGAGCCAAGCAATTCTTTCTAATTAACATTTTTTGTGTAAATTTAAGTGGTACAAGTGCAGGTTTATTACGTGGTTACATTGCTTAGTGGTGAATTCTGGGCTTTTAGTTTAACCATTACCTGCGTAGTGCACTTTGTGCCCTTTAGGTTATTTCTTATCCCTTCTCCTCTTCCCGCTCGTCTCTAATTCACGAGCACCTAGGCTGCTCATTCTAGCTGACTCTCCCTTCCTCTTGACAAAGTTTGTGTATCTTTAAACATTGTTGCCCACTAAAATTCATTATTAAATGGGAATGTTGATTATAATAATGAGGAAATAATGTTATTTTTATACTGTACTTTATTTTGTGCTTTTTTTTTTTTTTTTTTTGCTTCTGCCCACCATGACATTCTTAGGACAAGAAAGAGAAAAAGACCTCAGCAACTTCTGCTAGTTCAGCTCTAAGACCAGTTCCATCAGAGAAGAGAAAACTGGTGAGTGTTTAGATACCATGACCAACTATGTTATTTATATTAAAATTTTAATTTATAGTTAGGATCCCCCCCACTACTTTCCCCTAATTATTTCTTTCTGTTATCCTTGCTTTTTGTTAGCCAATAGAATGAAAACCAGTGTTGGCGTTTTTCTTTCTTCAACTCATTAAAAAGCTTTTAAGTTCTTTATTTCTTGTGCAGATAGACTGTAGCATGTGAGATTAGACAACATGGGTAAAATTGAGACAGTTTTTAAGTCTTCTGTATAGGTGATTATATTTGTCTTTACAAGTGTCCTTTTGAGATAGTGAAGGCAGATAGATTGTTTGCATTTTCACATTTGGAAATTGAGATCCAGAAGGTCAAATGAATTATCCAACGACACAAAACTTAATACAGCAGCAGAACCAAGTGTCCGGGTCCACAATGCTGTGTCTCCGGCCCTGACCCAGGGCCTTGTCAGAGCCAGGATGCTAGGACTCGGCCCCGGCCCACCCAACTGTCTAGATGCAGGCCTCTGTGCCAGCTTACTCGGGGTAGGTCTTATTCAGGTCTCAGTGCTGAAGCACCTTAGAAGTCAGAGTCAATATTTGTAGAAGCGAGCATCTCAGCAGTAATCTCTCAGCGGCAGTCTTAGGAGGAGGAGCACCAATCAGGCGTTCTCCAAGCAAGAAGCGGAGCCTAAGGACGAGCCTCGGTTAACTTCTCCCAAAGCTGTTTATAGAAGTAATCCTGTGGCCGCCTATGCCACAGCTGTGGAGACTGCTAACCAGTGATGTACATACTTCCATGCTCTCGTGGATCTCACTAATGAGAGCCAATGATATTAAATCCCTTCCCCAATCCCTTATTGCCAAAGTATTTCTCACAGGTGCCTCCTACAGCCAAGTCCAGGTCTTTATGTTCTCATACAAGTAATTAGAAGCAGTGACAGCAGATTAAACCCCTCCGTGGGTGATTGATGAAGTACTTAACACCAAATTGAAGTATACACACATGTATGTTAAACTATCCTGGATATATATACAATTTTTGTGTGCATATATATATGTATCTATGTATATATGTGTGTGTACATATATATCCTGTGAGTTATAAGAGAAAAGTAAGGAAAGTTACAAGGAAGCAAAATTGTGTTTTTAAGAATTTACTTGTTTGTAAGACAGCAACTGAAAGTACTGTTAAAAAATGTATTTACTTGTTTTGAGTTTTCATATAGTTTCAATATATTTTTACTGTGTTAACCATAAAACACTGAGTTCATCACATTTCTTCTCTGCTAAAAAGTCTTCACTCACTGTTTAGTTTGTCATGTAAGGCTCTTTTAAATTTGCTCACACCTTACGATTCAGTTGTTTTTCCTTTTCCTTTAAGAGTCCTTTTGCCTTTGGCTTGGCAGGTTCATTTTCTTTCTGCTGAATTTATACTAGTCATCCTCAGCTGCTTAGAATTGCTACGCTTTCTTAGCTCAATATGCCGTCTTTCATTTTTAACCCATATTTCAGTCTTTAGGATCTATTTTGCCTCCCTGTTTTTTGGGGCACCTTTCATCATTCAGTGGTTGAAATTTTGAACTCTTTGAGTACTTATTTAGTATTCTTCTTTGACACTGAGTTATGTCCTTGTATTAGGTTATTTGTACATATCCATATTCTTTCTTCATCCTTATCTTTTTACTTCAGTTTTTTTTACAAATACAATGGGATGTCTTTTTACTTTGCTCTAAGCTCTTAAGGACAGGGACTGTTACCTTATGTTTCTCTTATCTTTCTTGTGCCTGGCCTTGTGCCCCCAGAGTACATAGAGAGACAGAATGATAGAGAGTCAGATAAATCTGGTTTCAATGATAGCTCTGCTACTAACTTGCTTTGTGACATTGAGGAAAATGCCCTGCTCAGTTGTAGCGTTGGGTACTTCAGCCGTAAAATAGGGATAATGATAAATCTGCCTCACAAAATTATTGGAAGGATTAAGTAAATCATGTCAGCTTTCTCAGTGATAGATCTGTGAAAAAAAATATTGTCTGTAACAAAAGTTCGAGGTACAGTTTATATTTTCTAAGTGATAGACTTTTTTTTAATTTCAGAAATCAGATCATACAGATATTCTGTACTATCAAACAAACGGGAGACAAGAATTGAAAAGGTAAATTTCTCCTTTTTCTTATCTTTTCATTTTTTGGGCTTAGAAAATATTTAGATTTGAAAAAAAATTGTTTTCACTTTGATTAGCACTATTTCACATGCAGATATCTCTAGCTGTATCACGGATTATGATGATTGACTTTTCTTAAATTTGATATAAATTTAAGAAAAAGTTGAGTAGAACACAAATCTATCAAAACTCTCTTGTTTAAAAAACACTCAAATAGGGGTGGTGCCCGTGGCTCATTTGGTAGGGTGCCGGGCCCTTATATTGAGGGTGGCGGGTTTGAACCTGACCCGGCCAAACTGCAACAAAAAAATAGCCAGGTGTTGTGGCGGGCGCCTATAGTCCCAGCTACTCAGGAGGCTGAGGCAAGAGAATTGCCTAAGCCCAGGAGTTGGAGGTTGCTGTGAGCGTCCTGTGAGAGGGCGATAAAGTAAGACTCTCTAAAAATAAATAAATAAATAAAAACCAAATAAAATGTAAATTTTTATTTCAGGTGATTTGATTTTGACATATAAGATACGTAACTTCATTACTTATACTTGTGAAAGAAGTTGTGAGGCTTAGAAGTTTTGTATACATCATTTTTATATATTACCTGTGAAGAGAATATGTATCTCATTGAATGGATATGGCTTTAAAGAGTATTAACTAACCAGCATGTAGTTATAGGTAGAGGACTTGGGGACTGATGGTAGGAATACTATAAATTATTTTTCTTTAATTTCTGTTTTTTTCCTCTATAATTTTCAAGAATTTTGTGGTAAAAGAATTTCTTGCCACTGACGGGGTTAAATAAGTATAAGACATATAATGTGTGTCAAAAGTTTGATCAAGGCTTTGATTAGAAGTAAGATCAAGGCTTCCCTGAAAATAGGGAGTTGGGAAAAACAATTAAAATGGCATTAGATATATAAATAAAGAGGTCTGCTTCCCAGTCTCAGTTCAATATCTGCTAAAAACAATAAAAATTCAACTTACTTCTGACTCTTCTTCAGTTCTTTTTAATCATCTCCCTCTGTTTTTTTTGTGTGTGATACTTTGCATCTGTTCAAGTATATTCTTTTCTTTCTTTTTTTTTTTTTTGAGATGGAGTCTCAAGCTGTTGCCCTGGGTAGAGTGCCATGGCGTCACAGCTCACAGCAAACTCCAACTCGTGGGCTTAAGTGACTCTCTTGCTTCAGCCTCCCAAGTACCTGGGACTACAGGCACCCACCACAATGCCCGGCTATTTTTTGGTTGTAGTTGTCATTATTGGTTGGCAGGCTGGGGCTGGATTCGAACCCGCCAGCTCTGGTGTATGTGGCTGGCACCCCAGCCGCTTGAGCTACAGGCGCCAAGCCTGTTGAAGTATATTCTAAATTTCATGTTATCTTGACTATCACTTGCTAAACTTTTGAACTAGATTTTTAATGCCTTTGCACTGATGTTCTTTTTAAAAGCATTTTAAGTTCTGAAATACTGCTTGACTTTTCATTAGTTACTTTTTTGTTTAAAGGCACATCATTAAGTCCTTGGTCACACATCCATGTATAAAAGAGTAAAGTATAAATAGACTTCTGATCTATATCAGAAGATCATGTCTTCTGATGAAGATCATGTCATGTAGTCTTTGGAAATAAGAAGAAACAATGTTATTGAGTTCTTTTGAGACTAGAATTTGAATTTTTCTAAGGGTGCATTGAAGTTTACCTTTACTTCAGTATTCAAAATCTGTTGTTTGGCTTCAGCCATTGGCGCGCTGGATCTTTGCATGTTTACCTCAGTAACATTTACTGTGCCTGAAACCCAGGTGTGATCAGTGTTCATGCCATTTTGTGGGTTACCGTCATACCATACTATGATAACAGCATCAGTAATATGAACAAAACATGTCGTTAATATCTGAATATTCACTTTCAGACATTGGTAAGTACTCTAGATACAAGTTTTTTTTTTTTTTTTTTTTTAAATTGTAGATACAAGTTTTAGTGAAAATTTTCCTTAGCCAAAGAAAACTATGTGAAATGCAAGATATTTTAGAACTTCCTGGTCATGTATTTGTACAAAATATTAAAAAAATATGGTGGGAACTATCACATATTTAAATGATAATTTGGACAAAGGAAAGCTGTAATACTGTGCATAATAGACACTGCCATCAACAGTGTGGGATTTCTAACAGCCACTGCTTGCTACCCGAGAAAGTGGTTCATTTGCTGTTGTTGTTTAGCTGTTGGATAAGTAAACAGATATTTCCTTCAAGGTTATAAGTCTTAAATGGTTTATAGAATTTTCTATAGAAATCTCCCCATAATTCAGTTCCTGGGAGGCATGCAAACAGTGAAAGCTAAGACGCAGATGAAAAAAATCAGAAAGAATTTTATCATCTGGGAAGCCAGTTTTACTGCACTATTACTGTAATTTCTGTTCCATGGTTTAAGTACAAATAAATGTATTGGCAGGAAAAATAGAAGCAAAGATAACAATCTGAAGTCTGCTTTTCAAATTCAGAAAGTTTTCAGAACTCAATGTTTTCAGTATTTGGAAAGCATTTCTTTAGTTGGTAAATGCACAGTTTCAGGTTTTGGGATTTCTTTGATAAAAAGATATATCATCATCATTAATTAAATCATTAAGTCTAGGAGTTGAAGAGGAAATAAATTTTTACCTCAGTTACTATTAGAGGTGGTAGTATTCCATCAGCAGTACTCATTACTGGCAGAAGTAGCCAAAATAATACCTTATTCTTAAAAATTGACCTGAGTTGGAAGTGTATATATAATTTAGTATCCTAAATGTGCTTTATGATGATCAGTAGAGCAGTCTGGCAGCTGATAATGTTAAGAAATTATTGTTTCTATGGTGTCATATGCTAAAATGTTTGTTACTAAATTTTTATTTATTTATTTATTTATTTTTGAGACAGGAGCCTCAAGCTGTCCCCTTGGGTAGAGTGCTGTGGCATCTCAGCTCACAGCAACCTCCAATTCCTGGGCTCAAGCGAGTCTTCTGCCTCTGCCTCCCAAGTAGCTGGGACCACAGGCGCCCGCCACAACACCCAGCTATTTTTTGGTTGCAGCCGTCATTGTTGTTTGGCGGCCTGGGCTAGATGGGCTGGATTCGAACCCGCTACCTTGGGTGTACGTGCCTGGCGCCTTAGCCACTTGAGCCACAGGCGCCAAGCCTGTTACTAAATTTTTAAATAGTCTAATGATAATAATTAAATTTTGGACAAGATTTCACATTTATTTTTATATCCCAGGAATTCAGTGTAAGATAGTGATATTTAGCTTCAGTTGAGTGTTGATTTTAATGCTAAATCATTCACAAAGAATAAATGTTTACTAAATGTCTTTTATCTGAAAAGATCTCAAAACTTTAATATTTGGGGCTGCAAATATAAAGCTGCATTATCTCAATATAGCATTTGACAAAACTAGTTGGTATTATATATTGTTTAAGTTCATTTCTGATTTTTTTTACCCTGGTATAGATTTCTAAAATAGGAATTAGAGAAGTCAAAGAGTCCGGGCATTTTTAGAGCTGTTAATTTACATTGTCAAATTCCTTTGTAGAAAAGTTATATCATTTTGCATTTACACCAGAAACATATGAGAGGGTCCATTTTCCATCACCTTGCCAGTGTTTACCATTATCATAAATTCTGCTTATTTGCTTATAGAAGGAAGTGGTATGTTACTGTTATAATGTCTGTGGTTACTAAGAAGTCAGACGTAATGTTTTTTAGCTATTCCCTTTTTCTCATTAATTTTCTGTTTATGCCTTAGTCTAGACTCTTAGTACTTTTTGAAGAGCTTTTAATCTGCTAAGGCTAATAAGCTATTATGTATCTGGCAAATACTACTGTATTCTTTTAATTTTTATTAATTTATTATTAATTTTTAACAGGAAGTTCTCTACTAAGAAATCGGGTAAACATTCCCTTTTTCCCTTCTAGTTTTTAAGGGGTTAACATGAAATATAGTAATTGTGATAATAACAATTGTTTTATACTTAAGTATTTAATCCATTTGGAATTTTTGTTGTCATGTATCATATATGGCTGTAAATTGGTTGATTTTTTTCCAAATAGCAAACCAATTATTCTAATGCCACTTGTGGAGTAATTCTTTCTACTTCATTCTTAAGGGTAGCCATTTCTTTCTTTTTATGAAGTTTAATGTTGCGCCAGTTTTGTTATCCCTAACTAATATAATATGATGCTACTTTATGCATAATTGTATTGTAACCTAGGCTTCTGTGCTGCTTTACAGATTGAATGTTGAAATTGATGTTCTTAAAAAGAGACCAAAAATCAGTTCTTCATCCCAAGGATCTATTAAATTCCAAGAAACATCATATTCAAATGATAATCAAATTATTTCACAGAGTCCTTCTTCAAATGGAAATAAAAAAGATACAAGTAGATGTATAGATTTTAAACTTAAAGATATCAAGTTCACAAATGTTAGGAGTAAGTTTGACCATGGAATTAAAAACCTTAGCAGTCCTACGATTGCCAATGATGTGAAACCTAAAGCTGAAGGCCAGGCCGATGAAAAGAAATGGACTCACTTACGTGCTCAGAGGGAGAAGATGAAAGAACTCAAGAAAGAAAGGAACCATAAATTTAGAGACAGTTCTGAAAAATATGTCTTGGAGAAATGCAAGAAAAATCAAGTTTCTCAGGATTATAATTCCAACAAGATAGCTAAGGAACATCTCGAATCTAAAAGGAAGGTTAGTGCCAAAATCCCAGTGAACTCCTGCGATTCCCTCCAGAAGCCTGCAGAAGAAAATGTCTTCAATTTAGATTTTAACAAGTTAGAGACTAACCAGGAAAAAAAAGAGTGCCTGGAAAGTTCTGAGGTTTCATTAAATTTGTCTAGGCACAAAATGGAACATTTCTTTTCAGATTCCACGTGTAAGTGGACTCATATGTGGAAAGGAAAATACCATGAGCGTCAAGGAAGTAATGATTCAAATTCTAGAGAAAACCTAACCCAGGTAAGGTAATACCAAATGAGGAACATCATGTTGCATTGCAGCAGTGAATTTATTAACATAGTTGGGTTTTTAGTTGTTTCTCTTGCCAATAATAATTATAGGAGGTTGACTCAAATTTATTCATGAAGATAGGTGTTGGTTTCTTTACTTCCTTTAATTCCAGGTTCCTTAGAAAGATAGCTTGGGAGATATCAAGGATTCATGATAGAAGGGAATGTATAAAAATGTGAAAAGAAGCAGTTGTAGAGAGTCCTTTGAAAAAGCACTGTGACAATCTCTTAGGCTCTTCAAGAGCCCGATACTGGAGAAGACTGAGAGGTCAATATTCTGAATAGTGTATTCCTTTAATAGGTTACTTTTTATTATGCCACTGTGTGTCAGGCACTGCAGTAAAATAGTTTGTAAGAGACAACATAGTCTTTTTTTCAGAGACTTACTCATGTGAGAAGAGATACAAGCAATTTCCTTAACTATGACAAAGTCTTTACTATGAGAATATAAAGCAGGTATTGGCATCGCTTTGTGTGCTTTGGAGGGATTAGTTAAGAAGGGTTTACTGGGGAGAGTAACATTTAAACTGAGAATTAAGTAATGAGTAGAGTTACTCCTAGTAACTAGTTAACGAGTAACTAGTTACTCCTAGGATTAGTTAAGAAGGGTTTACTGGGGAGAGTAACATTTAAACTGAGAATTAAGTAATGAGTAGAGTTACTCCTAGTAACTAGTTAAGGAGTAACGAGTTACTCCTAGGATTAGTTAAGAAGGGTTTACTGGGGAGAGTAACATTTAAACTGAAAATTAAGTAAAGAGAGAGTTACTTCTAGTCTAGGTGAAGTAGGGTGGGATGGGAGAAGCAGGGATATTCTGGGCAAAGGGAAATAACTGTGTGAGCAGAGATCCAGGATAGAGAATTTGAAACGCCTGTTTTGCTTTTAAAATATGTAATAGGCCGGGTGCAGTGGTTCACGCCTGTAATCCCAGCATTTGAGAGGCCGAGGCAGCTGGATTGCCTGAGCGCACAAGTTCAAGATCAGCCTGAGCCAAAGCTAGACCTTGTCTCTAAAACTAGCTGGGCACTGTGGTGGGTGCCTATAGTCCCAGCTACTTTGGAGGCTGAGACAAGAGGTTCACTTGAGCCCAAGAATTGGAGGTTGCTATGAGCTATGATATCATGGCACTCTACCAAGGGTGACAAAGTGAGACCCTTGTCTCAAATAAAATAAAATATGAAATAAATTGGTACTTGTGGACTATTTGAGAACCTAATATCTATAGCTTTGTTTTTATGGCAAATAAAATTGTTTACCTTCTAGAGAACTTTTAGAGCTTTAGAACTTTAGAACTTTAGAACTTCTGAATTTCTGACACTTAGAAACTGCTTATAAACAGGAGCGGTTAAGTCTAAAAATCTCTTTTTAGATATTGAGACGATAATTATGCAGCAGTGCAAGGTATTTCTTATGAAAAATGGAAGGTTTATAACTATGGATGCCAGAAGAGCTTGAGAGGGAGTATTTTTATTTATTTTTTAAGACAGAGTCTCACTTTGTCACCCTTAGTAGAGTGCTGTGGTGTCATAGCTCACAGCAACCTCAAACTCTTGGGGTCAACCGATCCTCTTACCTCAGCCTTCCAAGTAGCTGGGACCACAGGTGCCCACCACAACACGTGGCTGTTTTTAGAGATGAGGTCTCGCTCTGGTTCAGGCTGGTCTCCAACCTGTGAGCTCAGGCAGTCCACCTGCCTTGGCCTCCCAAGTGCTGGGATTATAGGCGTGCACCCAGCCAAGAGGGAGTATTTTTAGTTCAGGTGAACTTGAAGGGTTCCAAAGAGGGAAAGAATTGAGTTTGTTGTTCTTACTGCATTTGTACCAGAAAGAACTTCCAGTTATTCCTCTTATCTTATAATCACTTGTCTAGAATAGAATGAAAGAAAGGAACTTGAAGTTGCCACTGTGTTCAGTGATCATCATCATTGTGTTGCTTGCTGTTTCCCTTGTGCTGTCCGTCTAAGAAACGGTATGCAAAATTTCTGCAGTGTAGGTTGTAGTTTCTTTTGGTCTCTGTATAGAATTACTACATAAACCAAAAGAGGTACATAGCAAGAATATTAAGTTGTAGGGGAAGCAGTTTTTTCATGGCTAATTCCAGTTATCTGAATTAACTTTTTATAAAATGTTTCTCTGAGAGCAGAATTATCTGACTTAAAGTCAGTTAGACATAAGAGCAGCAAGTAAATATTCTCCTTATCTGAAGCATATTTAGCATATTATTATTTTTTTGTGACAGAATCTTACAGTGTCATCCCCAGAAGAGTGCATTTGCATCACAGCTCACAGCAACCTCAAACTCTTGGGCTCAAGCGATTCTCTTGCTCAGCCTCCCAAGTGGCTGGGACTTTAGGTGCCCGCCACAATGCCTGGCTAGTTTTTTTTTGTTGTTGTTGTTTGTTTAGCAGGCCCGAGCCAGGTTCAAACCCACCAGTCCCGGTGCATATGGCTGGTGCCCTAACAGCTGAGCTACGGGCACTGAGCCAATTTAGTGTATTACTAACAGTAGATAATCACCTTAATACCATGTTTATTATTTTGTCTTACATATTAATACCTCAATAGATAATTATTTTCTTACAATAACGAGTGTACTTTACAAAGAAGTAAGGATATTTTCTGGATTTAGTAATCCTGTTATTTAGTAACTCTGTTATACTTTCTAAAGAAAAAAATACCTCATTTTATTTATTAAGTTTTATAATCCTTTTATGAAGACCCTTCTCAGTTTACTGCCTCTTCCATTGCAAATTAATGTTCTTGAGATTTTTTTTGTGTGTGTGTGTTTAGTAGGCCTGGGCCAGGTTTAAACCCACTGGTCCGAGAGCATGTGGCTGGCGCCCTAACCACTGAGCTACAGGAGCCCAGCCAGTTCTTGAGATTTATGGTTTATAGGCCACTTTTTGAAAATAGCATCCCAGCTTGGTGGCCATAGCAGAGTAGTTACAGCGCCAGCCACATACACTGAGGCTGGCGGGTTTGAACCTGGCCCGGGCCAGGTGAACAACAATGACAACTGCAACAAAAAAAATAGCCAGGAGTTGTGGTGGGCACCTGTAGTCCCAGGTACTTGGGACGCTGAGGCAAGAGAATCACTTAAGCCCAAGAGTTTGAGGTTGCTGTGAGCTGTGATGCCACCACACTCTACTGCGGGCAACAAAGTCAGATTCTATCTCAAGAAAAGAAAATAGGCTCGGTGCCTATAGCTCAACCAGCTAAGGCGCCAGCCACGTACACCTAAGGTGGCGGGTTTGAATCCCCAGCCCGGACCTGCCAAACAACAATGACGGCTGCAACCAAAAAATAGCCGGGCGTTGTGGCGGGCGCCTGT